TTAGACAGTCTAAAAAAGGTTCACCCCTCTTCTCCTGCTTCCAAGGGGGTTCAGTAATTTTAAATGATGAAAATTTAATCCTTTACAAGCGACTTTCCAGACTCTAGCTTGCCGTTTCTTTGCTTCACTCTATTTACAAAAGCGGAAGGCAGACTTCCTGTTTAGACCTTCCCGCTTCGGTGCCAAATTAATAAATTTCATAGTCCAATTTTCCGTTCTACTCACGGGCAGTTGTTTAAAATCCAATTGTCCACAGGAAAAAGTCAGCGCTCTCCGGCAACAGCAATGCGGCTTCACTCCGTGAAAGAAGCAGTCGATTCAAAGCACCGCGCCACTCACCCCACGTCGCTCCGGATCCCCAAAACAGGGTTTCCCCGCGAGTAGGGGGGGGCGCAAAGGTGCCAGCCGAATCCCACGTCCACAGGCTTCTCCCGCCTGTGGTTTTTAATGGGTCTCCCCCTCACCGCGGCGATTCAGACCCTGTTTTCCACAGAGCGGATTCCTCCCGATCGGAGGAAATCCGCCATTGCCAGAGGTGCCAACCCGGAAGTCCCCATCAGCCACACTCCTCACTGGCCCTGTCTTATATCCTCCTCAAGTGGTTTTGTTGGGTGGGATATAACCTTGGGCTGTAGTAATGCCTTTCGCTTGCATGGATGGAGGACAGACAGGTTTGTGTGTGTGTGTGTGTGTGTGTTATTTTCTAGAAAAATGAACGCCTCCCTTGTTCTACTACAATGGCAATTGTGCCCACCTGAGATATGCTGGAACTCGGTTCTGGCGAGTTCCTTCTGAAAAAACAAGCCCTGGTGTGAGTACATATAAAAACCTCTGGTTTTGTGAGGCCGGAACGTAGCCTCCAAAGACAAGAGTCACATTCATTACTCCGCTCACTTTTGCCTCTGGTTATACCGACCACTGGTATGTGGCCTGTAGAGGATTGCCAACAAAAGAATATGGCCCCCCAGACTGATAAGGTTTTCCCACCCCTGCCCTTGGGACCTTTCCCCTCCAGCCTGTGTTCTGTGTCATAAACAGAGAATAGCTTTCCAACCATAATCAGATGGAGGTTTTTGTGTCAAAGCCTTCTTCTTTAGTGCTATGGTCACTGGATGAACTATATGCCAGGCATCAATCCCCCTCCCCACAAAAAACAAACATTCCCACTGTGCTAGCTGGTGTGTGCATCCCTTCCTGCTTACTGCTGCTGTCATTGAAGTCAGCTGCTGTTTGGCCAAGCCTTTAGCATTGCTTGACAGTGTCTCACATCAGCAGCTCTGCCTAGTGTGCTCCCACCATAACTGATGGCTCAGCATACACCTTACAGGCGATGAACACCTGTTTTGGCAGGAGCACATTTGTTTTTCTTGGTGTGAAAGAGCAAGGCTTGTTTACAGAACAGGCAGATTTACTAGAAAATATATTAGCCATGCTTTTCACTCTCAATCAGCAGCATGACAGCTACCTAAAGAGATCCTTCCTCACCCAACTGCCTCTGCATTGCAGGAAACTTGCCAGTCACTATTACAACATCTTAATGAGTTTAACTTGGAAAACAAACAAACAGCTACTCTTGCTGCAGATGCCCACTCATCAATATGTTTCTTCACTTTTCCCATCAGGAATTTTAGCTATAGGCATATTTATTCACAATGGCAGTAACTTTGCCATATATTCAGGAGAGCTTTTAGGGAGACATCACTGGGATTTATAATGCTATAAAGCCGCCTTGTGTTGACTCTTTAATAAACACTCTCTAAGTTGATGTTCCATATATTCTTTCTAGCTTTTGAAACCTAACTCTTGACAGATCAGTGGCTTCTGTGGGACTCACAATTCAGTGCTGGATTTCCCCCCATTAATAATTTTATTAAGAGTTTTATAAACTGTACGGAAACAGGCACAGCTAAAGAGTCAAATCTCAATTTACATTGCCATTAAATGAGTTCCATCCTTATTTTTTTTATCCTCCATATGGAGATACATGGACACTTACACCCACACTATATGGCTTCTATGCAGCTTACAAGTATAAAGTCATCATAATCAACAACAACTACAACAATTAATTAAAATAACATTAATATGCAGTATAACCATAGTACTTGGCAATCATTTTTAATTATTTCTATGCAATTTTACTTACCAAGCAAAACTAAATTATATAAATTTAACCAAAATATTGTTTGAATTCCCAAGTCATGTCACAACTTTTTAGGACTCCTCATTTTTGAAAGTTGAAAAATTCAACACACCTTATTACAGCAGCCAACTGTACCATAGCGGCAAGGTCAACCTTGTCTAACAAGAGAGAGAAGAAACTTCCTTATACAGGGCTGCCTTCAGATGTCTTCTAAAGGTTGTATAGTTACTTATCTCCTCGTCTCAGGAGTCGCATAACTCCACACCCTCCGATGGAAATAGAGACATCCTACCATATCCTCCAACATTTCTCTCATGGAAATAGGGATGTCCTAAGGAAAAGTGGGACATTCTAGCCTCAAATCCGAAATTGGGATGGCTTATGTGCGTAAATCTGGGACTGTCCTTGGAGAATAGGGACACTTGGAGGGTCTGTTGCTGAAATATATACAACAAAGAATTAATCAATGTGAGTCGTGTGAATCAAATTGGGTCTACTAGATCCATATTTTTTTTAGCAGTGTGGACTGTAGTTGCTTCTGGGGCCCCTCCAGAATTAGGGCCCCTAAAGCCTAAGCTTCAGTAGTTTCACAGTAGTTCCACCCCTGATCCCTGGCATCTCTAGCTAGGGCTGGGAGAGAATCTCTGCCTGAAATCCTGGAGAGCCACAAACAGTCAGTCTTGACAATGCTACAGTAGGTGAACCAATGTTCAGACCAAGTATAAGGCAGCTTCCTACGTTCCTATGAGTGTTGAACCATTTATGGCTTGCAGAATGGGAGGTGACACAGAGAACATCACCCAGCTTTATTCTCTACAATGAGATACTGTTCTATGTAGAAACCTGACTGGAAAGTAGTTTGTGATAACCCTGAAAGAAGAGCTGGTTGGTCTATTAGATGTCCAGCAGACATAAGCGGCTGCATAGCCAAGGCCAGAGGTGGCTCCTTTGTTGCCTAGCGATGGGAAGATGGAGCTACTGGTAGATGTTTTGAGGCACTCTGCATTTATTAGGCTTGATGAGATCCAATTAAACTGCTATCGAGACGAGTAAACAGAATGTTTATTTGTAATAATTTCCCAATCCACCAAATAGTGCAGTTAATAAAAAATATAGCTTCTGCCCTGTTTTCACAATAATTTAAAATTTACAGAGCACAGCACCAGACAACTGTTAAGCCCCACAAAGAGAGAAACATGAGCATCATAATGGAAAAGGGAGTGTTTTTAAAACATGCCCATTTTTAAGATTTAGTTTCACCCTCTCCTTCTTTTTTCCCTGCGTTATCAAGTAATTAAAGTTCTCAACTAGTTTGGAAATGGCTCAGATTTAATTTCATTTTGCTAAGCACCTCAATTTTTCAGCCAGGAAAAAAAGACCATTAGGAATTTGCATTATCCATTACAGCCTCCTTCATGATTTGAAATTTATATGGGAAATGCTAATTGGACGTTCATCATCATAAAGATAATGATTTCTGTACTCTTCACCACGATAATTAAGATGAAAGATGAAAATGATACAGAGTGAACATTGTATTCTTTATTTGCTGTGAATGGGGACTGGGAAATGAATTCCACCCTTGTCTATCAGGGTATGGGAGGGGGGAATCTGGGGAAATGTGGAAAGGAAATGGCATATGAAGGTTTGTTTTGCTTCATTTGGAGGCATCATTTCTGATGCTATTTCAGTTGTATACAAAAGAAGCTCACACTGTGGGGAACCGGCATGAAGACAGATGGGTTCAATGTTCTTTAAAGACAGTTAACCATTTTGTGCTTTAGACCTTATAGTCAACAGATGTGTGTGTGTGGGGGGGGGGAATAGTGTCTGATCCTAAGTTGTGTTTATCTTTTCTAACAACACATGCACACAAAGACCTAGTTCACTCATGCAGTGGGAGAGATGATAACAGCAGACCAGGACTTGCTTTATTTATTTTATTTTATTGATTAATTTCTATACCACAACTTCAACTGAGGATCATAGGACAGTTTACAGAAAAAAACACACAAAAATACATACAATAGTAACAAAAAAAAGCACAAAACCCAATAGCTCCCCTCCCCACTTTAAAAGACCTTAGGTCAGGGGTCAGAAAACTTTTTCAGCAAGGGGCTTGTCCACTGTCCCTCAGACCTTGTGTGTGGGGGGGGGAGCGGACTATATTTTGAAAAAAAAAAAGAAGGAACAAATTCCTATGCCCCACAAATAACCCAGAGATGCATTTTAAATAAAAGTACACATTCTGCCAACCTAGCAGTTTGAAAGCATGTCAAAGTGCAAGTAGATAAATAGGTACCGCTCCGGCGGGAAGCTAAACAGTGTTTCCGTGTGCTGCTCTGGTTTGCCAGAAGCGGCTTAGTCATGCTGGCCACATAACCTGGAAAAACTGTCTGTGGACAAACGCCGGCTCCCTCGGTCAGTAAAGCAAGATGAGCACCGCAACCCCAGAGTCATTCGCAACTGGACTTAACTGTCAGGGGTCCTTTACCCCCCCTTTTTTTTTTACACATTCTACTCATGTAAAAATACCAGGCAGGCCCCACAAATAACCCAGAGATGCATTTTAAATAAAAGGACACATTCTACTCATTTAAAATCATGCTGATTCCCGGACCATCTGCAGGCTGGATTTAGAAGGCGATTGGGCCGGATCTGGCCCCCAGGCCTTAGTTTGCCTACCCATGCCTTAGGTTCTTTAATTACCCAAAGGCCTGGAAGAAGAGAAATGTTTTTGCTTGGTTATGTGAAGCAACTAATAGATGATGCTTTGTGTATGGCAGAGGGAAGGGCATTCCACAGTGGAAGGACAGTGGCAGAAAATGCCTGTTAATGGATGGGGTGGCATTGCTTATCTGGCTTCCCAATGCAGAGGTTGCTGCCAGTAACTGAAATGGAGAGAGGTGAGGTAGTGGGGAGGTTGGTGCAGTGTGGGAGCATCAGATTGGTTCTGCCACTCTGCCTGTACTGTACCGACCTCCTCAATACCTCGCCTCTCCCCCTCTCAGTCACTTCCATATTGGGAAGCCAAGGAACCAACACTGTGCCACCCCATGCTGCCAGGCAGGCTGCTCTGCATGATCAGAATAAAGTTTGCACTGTTTGGATAAAAGTAATAGCTTGAGCACCCAAAATATCTGGAAGAGAAATACTAATCCGAGCATGACGCAGGAGACTTCAGAAAGTGCTTGCAGTATTTCTCTGTACAAATCACATGAAAAATCAGCTGGTGTAGAATATTCAGAAATACACACAGACTTTCAGTATTCTTTAAAAAAAAAAAGAGAAAAGAAAAGAATGGCATTTTTATTTCTATTATATGGTAAAATCTGTTACAATATAGCAATTCAATTAGTACCTCACTTTGTAGGTTTAATAGTTACTGTATTTAAGCATTTTCAGAAGTGCCCCTGCTGTTTTATGAGGCCATAAGACCGTTCCCAAAAGGATGAGCTTTGAGGCCAAGTAATATCATGAAATAAAAGTGCTATTCCTGGTGTGAGACTGCTGCGCACATGTGATAGGCGCTAAGATGGGAAAGTACAAAAGCTGCATCGCCTGAATTTGAACTGTAAAAGGTTTGTCATTTCAAGGGGAACTGCTATTCAGAAGATTTCTTCACCAGCATATATGTCTGAATAGAGGAAGATCTGAAGCTTGCCTTCAACATTGACCCAGAACAAGAACAAGATTGGACAGCTATGTCCAACACTGATGAAATTTCAAAATTAGGTTTTGAAAGCCAGAAGTTTTCTTCCTAGTTTCTTTGCTCAGTGGTAGAGCATCCTTTGCCTGCAGAAGGTCCCAGGCACAAGCCAGGTAGGACTGGCATGTCCCTTGCCAGAAATCCTGGAGAACCACTGCCAGCCAGTACTGAACTAGGTGAACCAATGGTCTGCCTCAGCTTCCTAGGTACATTATTTTGAACGAATGACAATGTATGCCATTCCTGCTGTCAGCTGATTTGCCCCCCATATGGTTTATAGCTGTGCACTTGACCTTCAGCACACCCATCATTTTCCTCAGAACATATCTGCACTGCAGATTTCAACTTGTTTAATTGTCAGTCCAATGCCCTAGAGAAATATGGAAACTATAATTCTGGGATAGGAGCTATGGATCACTAATTTTATATATTAAATGCATTTATATTGTTATGTGTACCTTAATTTCTGTGTGACGAGAGACTTCAGGGCTGCCAGAATACACCTTGGGTTTGGCATCATTAGAACGAAGGTCACTGGACACTGTGATGTTTTGTGATATATGGTTTTATGTATGCTTATATACAGTCTAAGCATAAGATGGAAGGGTTCGTAGCAGATCTTGCTCCCCCATTAGATTTCTGCCCCTCTCCCAAACATGGTTTGGACTCAACACAAATATCAAGTCAGGTCTCTTTGTGTCCCCAGGTCCCAGCTCCAGAGAATACTTGACAAGTCCTGTTCCCTGTTATACCCAGCATAAAATTGACTCTAACCAGGTGAATGGGGATTGAGGTTTACCTCCTCCTTCTGGAAGCATCTTGAGCTAGTATTATCTGTGAAAAAATCATCTGCACTTGGCCAATACCTTTTAGTTATGCAAAAAGATGCTGGGGTCATTAATTCAGTAAAGAGATGCTCTGACCATTTTAGCAGCTCCTTCTATTGCAGCAGGAGCAGTCCTCCAGATGTTGAACTACAGTTTCCATCATCCCTGACCACTGGCCACGTTAGCTAGAGATGATGAGAGGTTTTGTCCAACTGCATCTAGTGGGTTACTACAAAGCCCCATTTTACAGGTATAAAACCACAGGCCCACACACTGAAAAATGGCAAACAACAATAGAATCAAGAGGGGGAGTGGAGGGAAGTCAACTAAGTTAATATTTATTACTTGAACTTTTGTTTGTGGTTTTTTTTGTCATTAAAAAATTAATAAATTGTATTTAAAAGAAAGAAAAATGGCACACAAACCAACCCTCCTATTCTATAATAATATACTGCTTTTCATAATATTTATCCCAGCTGTTTTATAATGAAAATTAAAACAAAATAATACAGAATAAAACAATTAAAAAACACAATCACAATATCATAGAATCATAGAATCATAGAGTTGGAAGAGACCACAAGGGCCATCGAGTCCAACCCCCTGCCAAGCAGGAAACACCATCAGAGCACTCCTGACATATGGTTGTCAAGCCTCTGCTTAAAGACGTCCAAAGAAGGTCTTTAATATCAATTAAAGCTATAGAGTGAAAACCTGGTTTAGTGTGCTTAAATAGAGCATCCCTCCTTATACTTACAATGGAAACTATCAAAATGCACAAGAGAACAAAAATGTCTTCATCTGATGCTTAAAAGATGATCCAGTGGGCACCTCCTTGTGGGGAGTTCTATGACGGGGGCATCACAGAGGAGAAAGCTCTTGATCGCTGATGGTAGCAGCACTTTGAGAATGGCCTCTGGGAGATATTACAGTTTGGACAGGGTGATATATAAAAAGTTAGTCCTTAGGTCTGTAAAAAGCTTTAAAATGTAAGCATCCAAAGCAGAACCTTCAATCAAACTCAGAAGCGACCAAGTAAACAGTGTATATCTCTAAAAACTGGCAATATATGTTCCACCCTTACTGCTGGAATTTGAATTAATTGCAGCTTATGAACCATCTTCCAGGACAGCACCCTGTCCATTGAATTACAGTAGTCTGCATGGGATAACTTACTGATAATAGTATTAACCCTTAAACTGCAAACTGAATGATCCTGACAGGTTGCAAGTTGTGCAGGCTTAGTCTGGGCCCTATTGGTTTTCAAGTTAAAATGAGACTGTAACTGTTCATCCTTTCATCTACCGTTAATATCTAAATTACCTCATTGCCTGGTACTGCTGGCAGGGAATCAAACCTTTTCACCCTGCTTCTTGGAGCATGTGTCACCGAAGACTGACTGTCATGTCTTAAATGCTGGCACTACAAGCAGCCTCAAGGGGCAGTTAAGAGCATTTATATAACTTCACATGGATCAAATGTAGGTTGGGTCACCAAAGTCCTTTTTTATTCTTAGCTGACAAGTTCAACTTATGTGACCGCCCCAGAGCTCAACCTTGTTTAAAAACCTCTGTTTAAAAACACAGTTTCGTTGATCATTTAGCCAGAAACATCAATGCTTTTGCTCCTTGGAGACAAGGTTCAGCTAATCAGACTTTGGCCCTATCTGCACTATACATTAAAATCAGTATCAGGCCACTTTAAATTGTCATGGCTTCCCCCAAATAATCCTGGGAACTGTAGTTTGATAAAGATGCTGAGAGTTGTTATTCCCCTCACAAAGCTCCAGTTCTCAGAATGGCTCATCAGTCAATCCCTCTTCCCAGAGATCCTTGGGAATTGGAGTTATGGGAGGGGAATAGTGGTCTCCTATCAACTCTCAACATCCTTCACAAACTACAATTCCCAGGATTCTTTTTTTTTGGGGGGGGGGGGGAGCCATGACTGTTTAAAGCAAGTAGGATATTAAATGCATGGTGCAGATGGAGCCTTTGTTGAAATAGAAGGTTCTTAAAAAATAAATAAATCTGCATAACTGCAGTTTGGGTGTTATACATCGGTCAATTCCTATTGATAAACTCATTTTCTGCTATTATGAAGCAATGTCTATTGATCTTGAAATAACTAACAAATCCAGTACTATTTGTTTGAGACTCGAAATGTGAAGAGTCAGTTGTGAGGACAACAATGACTCATTCGTCCTGCTAAGTGTCTTCTTAAAGGTAATCAATAATGTCACGCGAATGAAGAATTGCACCATTTCATGAGGATCCTTCTGCTGTGCCATGATTTATTGGCACTGCTTGGGGGGAGGGGTTGCCACAGAGCTTAACAAACCTCCTCTAGCTTGAATTCAAGGCTTACAATGGATCTGTTCCCAGTCTGCTTTTGATGTATAATATGCCACTTTATCAAACATTGCCTTTTTGGAATAACAATTAGCAAACAAAACGGTGCGGATTGAATTAGCATGTTGTGTGCAGAGCCATTGGCAGAGATCTTAAGGTCAGCAAATGCCAGGGAAAAATCTTGTGCATTAAGGGGATTACATTTACAAAGCCATGAAGAACAGGTCTGGTTGAGAATATTTGATGCCTGCCTCACAAAACAGGAAAGGGACAGTGCACACTTCATTTGAAATGAGCCCTGGAAGGAGCACATGGATCCGAGCATCTGATGCTACAAGTACATTCATCAGCACATGCTTTCTGTGCTTCTGAATGCTCTCAAGCAGGGGATGAAGGTTGATAACCTTGCCATGCTGTTTGTTCCATGCATCTGCTTTTCAGAAGGATGCTTGCTGTCTGCCTCTGAGCATCAAGTTTCTGTTCAGCTATCATGATGCAATAGGTGCTGATCAACTATCTTCCAAAAGTGTCTCATTCACTTTTCTTTTTAAATAGATCTAACTAATTGCTGTCCCTCAATTTGGTGCCAATGAACCCATAAATTAATGATGTGTTTGTTGTGTGAGGAGCTTCCTCTTGTCAGCCCTCAATCTGCTGCCCACCAACTTCATGGGATGACCCCTGGTCCTACAAGAATTAGAAAGCAAAGGAGAGAGTTGGGAAAATCTCTTTATTCACACTGCCCATAATTTCCCCTAAACATCTCTTGTGTCCATTTTTTCCTGTAGGAAAGATAGCCCTACCCTTTGAACATCTATGTATTACCATCTATGTAACCTTTCCAGCATCTACAGTGGTACCTCAGGTTACATACGCTTCAGGTTACATACACTTCAGGTTACATACACTTCAAGTTACAGACTCCGCTAACCCAGAAATAGTGCTTCAGGTTAAGAACTTTGCTTCAGGATGAGAACAGACATCGTGCTCCAACGGCGCAGCAGCAGCAGGAGGCCCCATTAGCTAAAGTGGGGCTTTGGGTTAAGAACAGTTTCAGGTTAAGAACGGAACTCCGGAATGAATTAAGTACTTAACCCGAGGTACTACTGTACTGTTTCTTTTCAGAGGAGGTTACCAGAACTGTGCATAG